GCTAAATTTGTTTTCTCTCCCTATCTAGAGGCCATTTAAGAGGGAGCTAATTCTAGCCACTCCAACAGTTATCAAAGTGCCTGACAACAAATCCTGAGTTCATCAATCATCATTCCAGCCTTAACAGACAAAAGAAAAATGAAGAGAAACCCATTAGATGGATGCTTTTGGGAGCCCTCATCAAAAAATTCCAATGGATTTCTAGTTCCCTGCCTAAAAATTGTAATACTAACTACTCTTACCTTTACTTTTCTTTCACATCTCCCAGACACCAAACACCTTTCTTTTCCCCCTATAGTTAAGAGTTATGTAATTTGGGAGTCTTTTAGATAGACCCACTGAAGGGGGTACCCCAATTGCCTCACCCTGTGTCCCTGTTCAGCATGGAAGAAGCCAGAGCAGTCTGCCTCCCAATTCCCTATTGGCAATTTGGGTAAGCCTCTTCAGAGGGTGGTATAATAAAAATAGGAGACAAAAATTGGCTAGGCAGCTAGGGTAAAAAGACCCCCCCCCCAAAAAAATAGCCATTTTCTTTCTTGGCTAAAAGTCAAAATGTCCTTGGGCCTTTTAGCAAAGTACTCTGTCCCAAAAGCCAAAAACATTAAAAGTATTTGTGAGCTCTTATCCCAAAAAGATTTTGGGGTTACCTCTTCAGAGGGGGAATGTTACAATACCAATAGCCCCTGATTATATTATTTTGATGCTTGCTCCCTGTTTCATACAGTTTCTCACAAATTACTACCATTGTTAAAATTATTACCAATCAGGTCATGGTCAGCCGATTCTCCCAGGATAGATGAGTTGGTTCTTAAAGCTTGTGATGACACTTCTCCATTTATAAAACAAAACAGGGGGAGATGTTGGGGAACCCTGCTGTTAAGGTCAGCTCCTTTCTCAGCAGGGGCTTCCTGTCTGACTTACCTGGAAAGTGCCTCCAAGCAGGGATGCCTGACCTTATTCAGAACATGACCTTTGGCATAGTTACCTGCAATAAAACTACCCCAGTTTTTTCTATATGATAATTAGGCATTGCCCTATAACCAGATGATAAGATCCCCCTACCACATGTAAATAAAGCACACTATGAGCACATATCAGTTGAAGCTTTGGCTGCTATGTCCATACTATATTTTCCCTGACCCCACTGAATAAATGGAGCTGTGTCACTGAATCTGCCTCCCCAGAAGGGCTTTCTTCCTTTGTGCTCACTGGCTGTCCTGAACCATTTCCCTGACCCCCACTGAATAAATGGAGCTGTGTCACTGAATCTGCCTCCCCGGAAGGGCTTTCTTCCTTTGTGCTCACTGGCTGTCCTGAACTGGTTCTTTGCTTCTGCTCCCTTTGTTCTCGTGGGTCGGTGGCCAATGGCCCGCGAGGGGACGGAGAGACCCACACTCTGGGTGTGCCTGTGAGAATGTTTCTAAACAGTATTAACTAAGTGGGGGGAACTGTCCATTGTGGGCAGCATTGTCTGGGCTGGGGCGCAGGACAGAACAGAAGAGGGGAAAAGGAAAAAGCAGGAATGGAGGCGTTCTCTCTCTCCTCCTCCTCTACTTTCCCTCTCCTCCTCTTCCTCCATTTTTTTCTCTCTGCTTCCTGGCCAGTATGATGTGAGAAGCTCTGCCTACCATGCACTCTCTGCCATGAAGAACTGAAATCTCTAAAACCTTGACAAAATAATATCCATCCTGTAAGTTGTTTCTCTTGGTTATTTGGCAGAGCAACAACAAAAAAGGTAACTGTCTTAGTTTCTTTTGATGGTGCTATGATAAAATACTGTTACAAAGCAACTTCAGGGAGAAGTTCAAAGGATTCTTACTGGCTCACAGTTCAAGGTGGAGAAGTCATTGCAGGCGCCTGAAACAGTTGGTCACATCGCATCCACAATCAGGAAGCAGAGAACAGTAATGAAATGCATACTGCTGCTCAGCTCCCTTTCTCCACTTACAGTCCAGGAACCTAGACAGGGGATGGTGCCACCCGCAGTGGGCACCATCAAGATAATCACCTTCCGGCATACAAGAGAACTGTCTCCCAGGAGATTCTAAATACTCTCCAGTTGATAATTCGCATTGGCCATTACACTAACTAAACACTCCAATTAAGCCAGATTTGCAAAACTATGAGTACCATTTTCCCCAGGAATTTTATTTTCATTTAAAAGATGTAGCCAGTTGCTGCAAAGCATATGCTATTCACATGAGTATGTAATGAGTTTTCTATCTTCAGTCTTAAATGAATTGATATATTTTAAAAAATACCTTAATTTTAACTTTTAGAAACTTAAAGGGTACTTGATACAAAAAATATTCGATGTTATAAGCCAGGCATTAAAGTATCTTGTGGGCCAGGCATGGTGGTGCGTGTCTTTAATCTCAGCATTCAGGAGGCAGAGGCAGGCAGATCACTGTGAGATCAAGATCAGCCTGGGATGGTCTACATAGTGAGGTACAGGCCAGCTGGGGCTCTGTGGTGGTTTCAATGAGAATGTACTCCCCAGGCTCAAGTATTTGGACATTCTGTCCCCAGCTTGTGATGTTGTTTTGGGAGGCTTTAGGAGGTGTGGCCATGCTGGAGGAAGCACATCACTGGGTTAGACTTTGAAAGTTCTTGAGCCTTGTTGAATTTCTAATCACTCTCTGCCTCTGGTACCTGCTTGGAGATGTGAGCTCTTGACTTTCTGTTTAAGTTACTTTGGTCAGTGTTTTATCACAGCAACAAAAAAGTAACTAATACAGGCTATATAATGAGACCTTGCCTCAAAAGAATAAAATAAAAAAGCATCTTGTAGGGGTACACCCACTTCCTTTTGACCAGCCACACTGTTTCATTCCTCCCCTCCTGTTGAATTTCCTAGCACACAGAAGCCCAGGGTCAGCTGGAGACAGCAGCAAGGACAGGGCAGCAGACTGTTCCTGAGGAGGGACAATTTGCCTTCACAGACACCTGTAAAGCCTCAGGTTTTTACTTGAAGTTACTTGGGTCATTTTTGCAATGATCATCAATGAGGGGAACCCGCGGGAAACAAGAACAGTAGTGGAAGCAGGTGTTGGCACTGCGATTACATCAATAGTCCTGGGCCCCACAGAAGGGACCGGACATGTAATGATTTTGTTCTCATATTTTTTTTCCTTTTTTCTTTTTTTCGAAGTATCTGTGCATTCAGAAGCAATGATCGATATTATTCCTGCCGAGAGTTCAAGTCTATGGAGCATTGGCCATTTTGTAAACAGCTGCAAAGCATTTTGCTGTGTAGCAATATTCTCTTCTCCCTGGCCCATTGTTTAGCAATATTCTGTTCTCCTTGGCTCATTGATGCAAACCTCTAACTGGGAATTTTTGAAAATCTAAATCAAATGCTCCTGATAGTTCTCAGGTCTTTTACCTGATTTGATCCATTTCCGGTCTTCACATGCTCTGTCATCTTGGATACTAGGAAGGCAAGGACAAGAAAATGGTTAAACTTCCTGTGAATGAACAAAGAAATTACCCCTGAAATAGATATGCCAAGGCTACCCGGTAAGCCAGCTGATGCTTTAATTCTTTTTAAAAGTTTAACTAAGTAATTTATTCTTATTTTATGTGTATAAGTGTTTTGACTGCATGCATATAAGTGCGCCTGTGTGTGTAAGACCTGCAGAGGCCAGGGAAGGGCATTAAATGTCTTGCCTGGAAATGGCATTAGGAACCGTTGATTGTTAGCTGCCATGTGGGCCTCACTTCTGCAAGTCTTTTGCAAGAAGAGCAAGTACTCTTGATGGCTGAGCCATCTCTTCAGTTTCTAAATCACATTTTCATTTACATTTGTGAGTGTGTGTGTGTGTGTGTGTGGGTGTGGGTGTGGGTGTGGGTGTGGGCTCTTGGGGGCCATGGTACATGTGTGGAGGTCAGTGTGTGTGTGTGTGTGTGTGTGTGTGTGTGTGTGTGTGTGTGTTTGGGCTCTTGGGGGGCATGGTGCATGTGTGGAGGTCAGAGAACAACTTGCAGGAGTCAGTTCTCCCCTTTTACCATGTAGGTCCCAGGGATCCAACTCAAGACATCAAGTTCGACAGGAAGTGCCTTTACTGACTGCTGAGCCATCTCACCAGCTCTGGCTCTAATTTTTCTATAGGTTCCAGCAATGCATCTAAGATTTTTATCCACCAAGAAAAGCTGCCAGTCTTTCAGTTAGCAAATACTTACTGGGAACTTATTACAGGTCACCCACTCTGCTAGCTATAGCTTAGAGCTCTTGGAATTTACAAATAATGCAAATAAATGGGTAATAAATAAATAATAAATAAATAAATAAACCCATCCTATTTAAAAGATCATACAATACTATTTTAGTCAATGATGAATCCCATACCCAACAATGGCACCATGAACTTATCATGGAGCCAAAAGTTTTCTCTCATGTCATATGTCCTGGCCACAGGAATGCCACTGAAAAATGCATTACTCAGAGGCCTGCAATGATGCTGCTGTAAGCTGACCTATTCTGCTGCCAACTGCATGAACATACAGTAAAGGCAGTCAGGTCCCTGGTAACAGATGATGGTCTGCTTGCTCACTGGGTTATACCTTTTGTTGTTTAGCATATAGGCTTTCTACTTATAATGAAACATTTCCGTAATACAACACACTCTCACAGTCTGTGACTCCAGAAGTGACCTCAGACATCTTGTGCTTATCAGGTCTTTTTGCTCAATCATTTTCTTGTGCTTTATTTTATCTCTGATTTTTGCTTTTCAGAATATTTTATTTGTTTTTATGTATATGAGCATATTGCCTACATGCGTGTAAGCCCACCCATGTCATGCAATGCCTGCAAAGGTCAGAAGAGGACATTGGATACCCAGAAACTGGAGTTATGGACCATTGGGAGCTTCCCTGTGGGTGCTAGGAACTGAACCTGGGTCTTCTACAAGAGCAGCCAGTGCCCTTAACCGCTGAGCTGTCTCCCCAGCCCATTTTTGTTTTAATTATAGGCTGGAAGCAGTAGACTATACTGTGTAGTGAATGTGTATGTTCACATATATACTATATATGTATACATATATCATATGTTGTACCATACAGAGATATATATGAAAACTAACCAGCTAGATTAGCGAATTAGCAAGCTCTGGTTTCAATAAGAGACCCTGCTTCAGTAACTAAAGCAATCGAGAAGATACCCAGTGTCAATCTCTGGCTTCCATATGTGTATATACACAAGTAAACATGCAGCCATGCATATATATATATACATACTACACACACACACACACACACACACACATACACACACACTCCATGTAGCTATGCAGCCAAGATCTGCAGTAGTCTACCTTATTTAGGTATCTCTAATTCCATTATACAATGTTCTCATAATAGTATCCCCTTAGGATTGTTATTATTAAGCAATGTATGACTGTAACATCCATGATTGAAAAAAATTACATCTGTGCATCACCCTGTGAAGCAAGAGTACTGAATGTCACGGGGTGAATCATGAGGATGCAGACTGCTCTGAGGGGCCGAGAAAGCATCTGCAAGAAGGCAAAGTTTAAGCTGAAACTCATAATTCATAACCGATAGCTCAGTTAGAAGTGAAGCTTGCTGACAATCCATCAAATACTAAGCATTCTCTAGGCACACACACACACACACATACTAAGACGACTGCAGGACAGCACCTACAACCCTCATTGACAATAAATCAAGGAAGCAAGACCAAAAGGCTTGTTTTTGCCTACCAGAATAAGAGCAGTGATGAGGTGTACACAGGCTGCTGGGGAGGGTGAGCGGTGGGGGGTGGGCACTCAGACTAAGGATCGAAGATCAGCAAAATGTCTATGGGAATGAACTCCACAAGCACAGAGTCCCTGTCTGCCTGTTCCGTACTACCTGGCACTACTTACTTCTCAATAAATGTCTGTTGAATTAACACCTAAGCAGAGGTCTTGTAAGAACTATCCAGACAAGGCATGGCCACAGGGTGTTTCAGGTAAATGGAACACATCAGTCAAGTTATGGGGACATAAAACAGAATAGTGCCTGTGCCAAATGGCATGCAGCTGTGAAAATGGAATGGGACAGAGAGGAGTGGCCAGGGATGGCCAAGCCCACACCAGAAGCAGCTATAGAGGGCCTTCGTTTCACTCTGTTAAGAGTCTACTAGGCTCTCAAGCCATTAAAAGCCCAAGAATGTTTATGTCTGATGGGGTCCCATTACAGCAATAAGGGAACAGCCCAGAGAAGGGTTCTCATGTGATTCTGAGTCTGCATTTCAGAGATGGTAGACATAACAGGGAGGAGACAGATATCAGAAATGCTTGGAGGGGTTAGAGGCAATAGAATATGGGCATTAACTACATAGCTGAAGAGAGATAAGAGCCTTAGGTAACTCCAAGTTCTCACTGGAGACATAAAACTGGCAAGGACAGGTAAAAGGAAAGAACAGAGGTACAAGTCTCAGGGAGACAGGTGATAAGCCTAGTTGGAGGCACTGGGCTTAACATGCCAGGGATGTGCACACACCCTGCTGTGCCATGAAGCAGTGGATCTATTTGAATCTGAGTCAACTTTGTGAAAGCGGTGCAGTTGAAGATACTGACTTGGGAATCATCAGTATCCAGGGAGGAGCTGAAAATCATCAAAGTGTATATCTAGTGAGAAAATGGGGAATCCTGAGAAATATCAGTATTAGGAGATGGGCAGAGGAAGTAGAAGAAATGAGAACAGAAGAGACCAATAGGGGAACATAAAAGAGCAGTGCCTGAAGCTAGGACAGAGAAAAAGCATCCAAGAAGAGCATACAATATTCACAGTAAGACTATATAATACAAATAGCACATAAAAATTCACAGGAGTAGGGGGCTGGAGAGACGGCTCAGCAGCTAAGAACACTGGACGTTTTTGCAGAGGACTTGGATTTGGGTCCCAGCATCTACATGGCAACTAGAAAACATCTGTAACTCAAGTTCCAGGGAATCCAACGCCCTCCTCTGGCCTCCCTGGGCACTGCACGCAGGTGGTGCACTTACAAACATGTAGGCAAAACATTCACATGCATAAAATTAAAAAAATATTAAAAACACAGAGGGCTGGGGAGTTGATAGGAGCACTTGCTCTTTAAGCATAAGGACCTAATTCAAATTCCCAGCACCCATGTAAAGAGCTGGGCATGGCAATACTTTTCTGTAACCCCAGCACTAGGGGTTGGAGAGAGGTGGATCTGTGAGCTAGCTGACCAACCTGCCATGCTGGCACAGTCAGTGAGCTACTGGTCCAGTCAGAGGCCCTCTGCCAAGGCAGCAGGTCAGACAGCTATGGAAGAAGACACTTGAAGTCATTCTCTGACCACCACAATGTATGAGCACAGGTGGGTATACTGCACATTCATGTGCATGCATCACATGCAGCACAGATATACACAGCACATAAAAAACACAGGAGGAGGTTTGAACATTGCAAATATTCAGGCTAATAATTACTGAAGTTGATCACTAAATTCTTCTCCCTCACTTTTGAGCACTAAGGCAGGAGAAGGCTGATGGGTTTTGTGGGGCTCATACTAGAGAGCTTATTTGTTCTTCAGGGAAACTGGCTTGTTAAATGCCCAAGAGCATAAAATCCAAAGAGAAGGGTCAGTGTGTTTTTCATACCCTACAACTAAGCTACTGTTGTTTTCCTGCTATTCTCTTGCACGTCTGGAAACTGCAAGCAAGAATTTAAAACTCAGACCCTTGTCTTGTTGTATTGTAATCATTTCTGATGGATCAGTTTTAAATTGAGGCCATCACACAGAAAGCCAGCCTGGGTCAGCTTTATCAAAGCTAATCTCTTTTAAATTGGAATGGTCTAACACAAGAGATATTTTGCAAACATGAACATGGTGGCATGATACCCAACAATACTTTTTTTCCCCCCTCTTCCATTAAATGTCAGAGGCCCAATGGGACATTCTCCAAAGGCTACAGTGCTGTGCACAGAAGAGGAACAGCTATAGGAAACAATGGCTGATGATTTTCTTCCCTGTAAAATGTAGCCAAGCTGGCCATTACAGATGGCGGACAGACCCACTAAGACTGCTTGTTTCCAGGCTGTCTGTTCTCAGGCCATTGGGTCTCAAGGCTGTGGGCTCCATACAAGTACATCACACAAACACAGGAGATTCCCAAAACTTGCTAGCAAAGTAATTTTGCAAGAAGGGAATGGTAGCAGAGTAGTGTAGATGAACAGAACACTCCCAGATCATACTCACCTAGAACCTCAAATTATAGCTTTCAACAAAAAGAGTTTTATCTCTTTCTTACTATACTCAAATATCAACTCACGTTCAACAGAAGATTCAAATGAAAGAACTGAAAATATCAAATTTCTAGAAAAAATTCAGGGAAAATACAGGAGATTCTATGAGTGGCCACAAGTAAATGAAAAATGCTCATCATGGGACTGGAGGGGTG